AGGCAATAACGTCCATCAGTGCGGTAGCCAGGCAATAACGTCCGTCAGTGCGGTAGCCAGGCAATAACGTCCGTCAGTGCGGTAGCCCATAACGTACGTCAGTGCGGTAGCCCGGCAATAATGTCCGTCAGTGCGGTAGCCCGGGAATAACGTCTGTCAGTGCGGTAGCCCGACAATAAGACCGTCAGTGCAGTAGCCCAATAACGTCCGTCAGTGCTGTAGCTCTGCAATAACGTCCGTCAGTGCGGTAGCCAGGCAATAACGTCTGTCACTGTGGTAGCCCGGCAATAACGTCCGTCAGTGCGGTAGCCCGGCAATAATGTCCGTCAGTGCGGTAGCCCGGGAATAACGTCTGTCAGTGCGGTAGCCCGACAATAAGACCGTCAGTGCAGTAGCCCAATAACGTCCGTCAGTGCTGTAGCTCTGCAATAACGTCCGTCAGTGCGGTAGCCCGGCAATAACGTCCGTCAGTGCGGTAGCCCGGCAATAACGTCCTTCAGTGCGGCAGCCCGGCAATGACGTCCGTCAGTGCACTAGCCCATAACGTCCGTCAGTGCGGTAGCCCGGCAATAATGTCCGTCAGTGCGGTAGCCTTGCAATAATTCTCAGATTAAAGTCAGAATTCTGACTTTTTTCTCAGAATTCTGACTTTTTTCTCAGAATTCTGACTTTAATCTCAGAATTCTGACTTTTTCCCATACTAAATTGAAATAGAATTTAAAAAATCAGTTATCTTTTTTTTTTTTTCCAGTGGCCCTAATCCTCTTCCATAGAAACACTTTGCCAATGGAACAAAACAATTTACATTTTAAATAAAGAGAACACTTGCTTTGTTTTATTCTAAGTGCATATTATCAATAGACCTTGTTTTAACAGTAAATATAGTCCCTAGCAGATCATCATATTAAGGCTGAATAAACTGAAGTTTCTACTAATTTTCAGATAGTTTTTCCAGTCTGTTTATTTGGATAAGTTACCTGTTAATTAGCGTGTAGATAATTATAATCAACTTTTTCAGTTTTTCTTTCCTTTTTGAACTGATTTACTCCATTAATTTAATTTTTTTAAATATTCTAATTTATTGACTTGATTTCCAAGCAGGTTATTTACATTTTCTCGTGCCTGAAAATATTGGTTAAATTCTGGAGTTTATTTCCAGATCCAGGTTTTTATTCAGATGCTGTAACTTCCATATCAAATATAGATTATTAACAAACAGATAAACCAGCCAAGTTAATAAGCTTGAATTAGCAAAATGAAGCGGGAGAAGGACGGCGTCTGTTCTGGGCCGGTCCAGCCTCTGGCCTCGCCCCGCCGGTCGGAAACTTCTGCCTATAGGGCTCTAATTAGCTGCATTCACAAACAGCAGCAGGCTCATCAAAATGCCGAGGCCTGCAGAAAGCCACAGCGGGGGTGGGCAGAGCATGTGTGTGCGGGGTCACGCTGAACACGTGTGCACGAGGAGAACGGGCTGCGTGAGCGTTCATGTGACAGAAGAATCTAAATGAAGAAGAAGATCGCTGGAATCAGGACGCCTATGGAGGCACAAACCTCAGGCCCGGCGGCCGCGCCACCATCCCGCGTTTCAGGGAATACCAGCGCTGCCAAATCCGTAAATTTGTCGTCCTCCCTCCGATTTGCATGCGCTGCATGGGAGCAAACAACCTCCCCACAACCATCGAGCACAAACAACAACAACCGCACAACGGAGCAGTAAACAGAGGCGATACCTCGCCATCCCTCTGATTCCCAGCCAAGTAACAAAATGGCTTCCGAGCGCCGTTTAGAAGCAGATCTCAGGAGTCTGAGCGAATTTACTGACTCGGTTCTTTTCTGCTGAGACTTTAAAACAGGATGTGAACCGTTGGTCTGATGCAGAGGAGGAACTTCACACCGATGAGGAAGGAGGAGGAGAAGTGGGACAGACTGCATCCAACAAAACAACAGGATCCGCTTTAATCCATTCAATCTGCAACCATTAACAGAACGATGCAGATTTATTAATCATCCATCGACATCTGACTGATGAAAAGACTCTGTTTAACATATGGTTAAAATGTTACTGCGACAATTAGAACAGGGACTAATGAACGTAAACAACCATCGGATCCCCCTGAATTAACAAGCTCAGTCACAGAACCCAGACTTCAGGGAGACACTGAGGCTGCAGAGCCGACATCCATCCACACTTAGAAGATCAACAACGGACAAAGAGAAAGAGGATCTTTAATGGAAGCATGGTGGACAAAAGCCTCTGGTCTGCTGTGAAGCACGGTGGTGGAGGGGTCATGATTTCAGCTTGCATGCATTGAACAAAACACCCCCTCTGTATGACACACTACAAAAACAATCTAGAAACAAGTTAAAATGTTTTAAATGAAGTTGATTTACCCTTAATTTGAGCAGGTGAGATATTTTACCAGTGGAAGGCAGATTTTTTACTCTTAAAATAAGATAATCAGATAATATGCACTTGAAATAAGACATTGAAATTGTGTTTTCTTATTTTAAATGTAAATTATCTTGTTCCATTGGCAAAATCTCTCTGTTATCTCCTGAATCCAAGAACAAATGCACTTATTTTAAGAATAAATTACTTATCTAGATTTAAATGTTATCCAGTGCAGTTCCAGCTCCGCTCAAACTGGTCATTATTATATTCTTTATATGTTAGATAAATATTTAATGGTTAATGAGGAGTGAAGGTGTTTGGTTTGTCGTCCGATCGGTGACGTATTTCCATAAATCTCTGGTTAAAGTTTTCCAGCGCAGCTTCTCTTCAGTGCAAAGAAAGGAGCATCCTGGGGAGCAGCTCTCCTGCACTCAGAGCTGGAAGCAGATTTATTTACAGACCCCCCCACAGCGCTGACCTCACAGTCAACTGACAAGGCGGATTTCTACTTTGAAACCAGGTCGTCTGCATAGGTGTGGCCGTGAACAGAAAGCCGTCCCCTCCGCAGACACTCCAGGAGGACGGCTTGTTTTGTTTTTATGACCAAAAATGCGGAAAACAACTCATGAAGTTTAACCAGCTAGAAGATCGAGGTGCGCGAGAACACTAGGACCCTTTTTCTAACTGGATCTTCACTATTTTTCGCCGTCATGACCCTCCGTTGTCGGACTAAACTCGCCCCCACTTCCTCACCGCCTCGGCCGTATCTAGAACCACAGCGTGTAGAGCAGACCACGCTTCAAAACTGAGCATAAATCAAAAATGTCTGCATCAAGCTCACTGCAACACAACTTTAGAAAGTGAGACTGATTTACAGGTTTATAGGATTATTTAGCAACAAGGCTAGGCTAACTGCATGCAGAGAGGCTAATGCTGTATCCTGCTTTCCCTGCATCCTTTTTCAAACGTCAGAATTCTATTCAGTTTATTTCTATAGCTCCAATTCACATCATGTCATCTCAGGTCACTTTCCAGTTCAAACAGATCATCCAGTCAGATTGGTTCAACATTTTCTTTCTAAGGGAAACCAGCTGATTGCATCGACTCATTGACTCTTCAGCAATCCCTCACACTAAGCATGCTTGTAGCGACAGTGGAGAGGAAAAACTCCCTTTGAACAGGAAGAAACCTCCAACAGAACCAGGCTCAGTGTGAGCGGCCATCTGCTGAGGCCCACTGGGGTTCAAGGAGACAGAAGCAGACATAGAAAAAGAAGCATAGATACAAAAGGCAACCAGCTCCACAGGCGGCCCCGTCCAGGAAACACACAGCCAGGCAGACGAGCTCCGAGCCAGCTCCCATGTCAGAGGATGAAGATTAGAACCAGAGCCAGCATGGATGAAGGCAGCTAGGACTGATTTAAAACACTTTCAGAACATTTTAGAATGTAGATTTTTGTTGTTATCATTCATGTAAATATACTGCTGCAATACCTTAGTATACATTTGATTGTTTTTTGGTTTACGTCTGTTTTGGAGTTATAGCGCCCCCTGGAGGAAGCTCCACCAGCCGCCACTGGGTCTGACATTAAGGTTAGCGTTGTCTTAGTGCCATCCATCAGCGTCTCCCATCGCTGTGTCCATAAATGGTTAATAAAACCAGCCAATAATGTTTAAAGCGCTTCCTAAATGCTTCAGCTTCAGACCCCTGAAACATCAGCGTTAGCGGAGCGGTCAGCTCGATTAGCACTGCGCACAAACCTTCCCAGCAAGACCATTTAAAGCAGTTTTTAACAAACAAACCAAATGAACTAACAGCCATAATAACAGCGCTGCAGTCTGCATGTTTTTAACCAGCTTCTTTGCAGATGTCAGAATCTGACGCTGATTGGGCAGCGGCAGAGTAAATAACATGAGCTGCAAGTAAAAACTATGCAGTGAATAGAGAATCCTAGAGCAGGTATGCATTAATCCAAAACGCTTTTCAACGATGACAACATGTTCCTTTGCTTTTGAAGCCAAACAATGAGGGTAATCAGCAGTGTTATGTCACAGTAACACAGGCAGGAAAGGATAAGAGCAGCAAATCAGAAAAACAGGAAGTCTCCTTCAGGAGCAAACACCAGCAGCTCAGACACTAACTTCATATATGAGAGCAAAAATAACAGAAAAAAATCATAAAAATAGTTTGGGATCTCAGTCAGCCTTGAAAATGAAACACTTGTTCTGTAAAAACCAACAAAGTTCAGTCTGAACACAAACAACAAAGTCTTTCTTTTCAAAATAAAACCCTGAAAATTGACTTTTTGTTTCTACTCTCATGTCTATTTGCACAATACAACTTTTTAAAGACTAAACTAAAAATCAAAGCATGTGGCCTTGTTTTTGCAAGAAAATGAAAAGCATGTGAGGTCAGCTCTAAAACAACAAGACAGTAGAAAGCATCAAACTGCATCTGCATGAGCAGAACATCACTAACGTCGCAGGATATTCATCCAGCCAGCAGGTGTAGAGGAGGAATGAGGAGGAGGAACAGCAAAGAATTGACAGGGAAGTAGGAGAAGAGGAAGATGGCGAGGAAAAAGAAGGGGGTTGGTAAAGTGACGTACTTGAGCCGGAGAAATGTCCGCTCCCCAGGGAGGTGGGTCCGTTTTTTCCACTGCTAACAGGAGGGGAAAACATCTACAAGACAAACAGAGAACACATTACCTCTGAGAGCACTGACGCTGCAAACAGCAAGAACATCTCTACAGATACATCACTGCATGAAAGGCTTCCTTCCAAAATATCACCATCTGACTAACAGCTACAGCCCAGTTTTTTATTAGAGTTTTGTTTTTGTGCGATTTGGACTGGGTACTATTTAACTTTATTTCTAATACCTACATTTCTGATTTTATACCTGCTTAGAGTAGTTCTATTAATGGCAGTAAGGATTGGATAAAAGGAAGCTTCTTGCTTGAGTTCACAGACATTTTCATTTTGAAAGCTGTCATAAAGGAGAACTCAGTCTGAGGCTGACCTGGACCTAAACGTCTGCCTTTGCAATCAGCTCTCAAGTCTCAGTTAAGGGACAATTGCTCAAAGATAGAGTCCTAAAACAGCATCTCCGGACTGAGGAATATCAGGTGGTTCCAGGGTCCACAAACTGATTCTAGCATTAAATGCAATATTTCCAGACTCCATCCGTCTCTCAGGGTTGCTCACTTTTTTTTTTTTTTTTTTTTTTTTTTTACAAAACTATGTCTCCTAACGAGCCCAACGAGTCTCACTAGTAAGACCATGAGTGACAGGCAACTACAGGACCTGAAACTGTATTGAACAAGTCTAATAGATCAGAAACACCCAAGTCTGCTGGACCGGTCAAGCCCAACAGGTCTTATACTGGCGTTAGCTCAAGGCAACAGGTCACAGGTAGACCCAAGGAGTCAAAGATCAAGTCCTACATCAGTACCAACAGACAGGTCTAGTGTACAAGAACTGCATCTCCGAGTCGCCTCCAAATTCGCAGCAGAATTTCTCTACAGTCAAACTATTATGACCTTCCATGGTTCGGATTAAAAAGCTCAGAGTTAAAACAGGAAACGCCCTAAAGTCAAACATATGGAGGTGGATATCCACGTATGACCAATATCCTGAACTTATCTGGAATATAACCTTCGTCCCAAATAAACAACGCTTATCTAGAAGAACATTTAAAGTCAAGAATGACAATAACCCCAATATGGCCGCATGTCTAGTATAACACACTGAGAGAGCTAACGTACCAAAACATAGATAAGACTAGAACCATAACCAGCATGTCATTACTGAGCACCAAACTTAGTACACATCAACGCCAACTCACCCTGAAACAAGGTATAGCTAAAGAGTTAGGCACCATGTGCGGTCGAAAGATTTAAAAATGATAGTCAGTCCAAGGTCTAAGTCCAGGGTTAGTCACGGGTAATATTCTATAAGGAGAAATTACAGATAATGGGGTGATAGGTACAAATCCTGTCCAATAGCCAAGTAAGGTACCAAGGTGCAAAATAGATTATGCCCAAAAGGCAAAGATTGGACAGATAGAAACATGCATCTAGAGTCAAATCCTTGGTGAGCATCGCAAAGGTTCCTAGTCTGGTCCAAATATGGCATAAAATTGCGACAGCAAATAGATTCCGGGCCCAAGATCTGCATGTGTCAAAAAGCTACACCAAAATCGACACGAAATCCGACAAGACTACAGCTATGACACGAAATCCGACAAGACTACAGCTACGACACCAAATCCAACAAGCTGGAGGTCACGTCCTTAACTAAACAGTCTGTGATGAGTTGTTTGTATAAACACCTCCAGGTCCAGTGGAAGCCTCTGAGACATAGTTTTTCTTTTAGGTCCAGTGTGTGGCAGTAGCTAAACGTACAGGAAACTGGGTCCTGATGCCTTAGACTGGAAGCACTGGTCTGGAGCAGCAGTTCCTAAAGTTTGGGTCTGGACTCCACCAATCAAGCAGTCTGTGTTTTAGAGCAATCACACTACAGATGAAACATGAAAAAGATCAAATCCAGTGAGTTTGTTCAGTCCTGGTTTAACAGCCTGGGTTTAATAGTCAGTCTTTGGTTGGGGACTCGGTTCTCTTCCATTCTGGTTCTTTAGGTTCGAATCTGAACATCTGAAAAAGTCCCAGAATCATGAATCGTCAGATGAAGGTTAAGTTTAAATAGCTTTTCACTCTTTAGGGACGATTATTCTGTTTAAATGAAACATCTCAGGTGGGTGGAGTCAGCAGGTCTGCTGAGACATTTAACTGTGTCTCTAGACCAATGCAGCAGAATTATCTCCAACTCTCTGCTAATTATCTAAGTATTTGATGTTATTCAGAAAGCAGATATAAAAGGTTTCCTTCAGGGACTGAAACTACGACGCTAAGATGGATCCATCTTTCTCTCTCCAGGTCAAAAGTCACTGAGTATTTATTGAGATAAATAAGCAAATAAAACCTTTGAGTGAGTACCCAGCCCTCATCGTTAAAGACTAAACTGACATTAAGAAATCAAATTATTCATTTAGAATCTGTGAAAAATGAAAATGTTTATTTTGGATTGAAGCGATTCATATTTGACTGAAACACAGGAAGTAACCGTCACACCTAGTCACCACCTGCTCTATACATCTACAGCCCAATCAGCTAAAGCAGCCGAAGCTTCAGGAACGCTGTGCAGCCAGGAGAGCTCGGCCAATCAGAGAGACACATCTGACCCTGAGAGATACCATCAGGCCTGTGCTTCTGGGAGCTACGCCGCCTCTCTGGCTTTTCAGGCACTCAGGCCTGAGAAAGTGTGGATTTCAGACGCTGCGGTTGCAGCAAATGAAGGAAAACGTTTCTAGGGATAAAAGATCCTAATCTGGATTATCAGCATCTCTATCGATACTGGAGCCTAAATGCTCTGAGCTGCAGAGTCGACTTGTGGCAGAATAAATAAAGACGGATAACGGCATAAATTACAGGCAGGCTGCTGCTGCCCTCCTTTGTTTCAACGCCCTGACGGAGGATGCTGCTCCTGAATCAAATCATTTCACTGCTATCATCCACAGTTTCACTTATTTAGATTAAATATAAACATGTTTGTCCGTAATCTACAGATTTCACTAAATAGCTGCTTACGTTTTAATTTCTAGGATTTTTCTAATAATTGAAATTGATTGTAGGAGTTTTAGAAAATGTTACGGTTGGAATAGTGAGCATCATTATTCATTGATATTTAGCTGCTGATTTTATCAGATTTACACAAAAAAATATTTTTTTATTCTGAGTTAAAATCACTATTTTACTATTATTTATTGATCATTTGTTTTTATTGCTAAAATAAAAACAACCTAATTATAAACACATAAATAATAATGATATCATAATAAAATAAATGAAAGTAATTTTTTAGAACCGATTAAAATAAAAACAATTGCCAATAATTTCACAATAATCAATTAAAACAAAAAATATTTGAGATGCTAAAATAAATTGGCCTTTTTCTGCAGGTCGATTTTTTATTTTGCCCAATTATTTTTTCTGCAGGGCTAATTTTATATTTAAAAAAAGGTTTAAATTGGTTATTTTTAACATCTTTATTGTCCATTTAAATCTATTTTTGCATCTTTTTGAATTGGCCTTTGCTGCTCCATGCAGCATCAGCACACATGATGCATCCGGACGTTTCATAACAGCCTTAATCTGAGCTTAGTTTTATTTTATTTTTTAGCTGCATCGCATTTTAGGGTGTTTCAGTTTCTCTTTTCCCTCCTCCTGACAAAAGTTGCTCCCAGAGGAGGAGAGGCGCAAGGAAAGGAAAACATGGCAGAGAGCAGGGGGACTATTTCCTGTCCGTCAAGTTCAAAACACAAGCTGTTCATAACAAACCAAGAGGAAATTATAATTATAATAATAACAACAAAAGTTTAGAAATCTAACATTGCGCTTCAGAAAGAGAAACAAATTCACATTTTTTAAATCATGCATATTTAAATTCCAGCATTTCTGCTCTGTGCTGCAGAAACTGACTAAATGTTAGAAGTCAGGATCAGAAAGAAGAAGAATCCTAAAGCTAAACATGAAGAGGAGAAAGAAAAGGACTTAAAATGAGATATACTACCATGGATGTTGGGAACATTTTCAAATCGTTGTTTGGCATCTACAAGACAACAGAATTACTGATGCAGCATCACAATTGTCTGCACACACACACACACAGCAGGGAAATCAAATTCAAACAATAATATATGCAAAGAGTTTGTTTCTGTAAGTTACTGTCAAACAAGCACAGAAGTTAAAGGAATCAATAAAAGCTGCCGGGCGCGAGCTGAGCGCGCGGCGGACAAGGTGCGTCTCCTTACCGCGCTGAAATCCAGCAGGTCGCTCAGCTCCTTGTCTGTCCCCAAAGCTGCCATCCGCTGCTGGTGATGCATTTTAGCCAAATCACCTACAAACATGCAAACAGCAGAGACGGATGGAGGGACAGAGACAGGAGGAGACCGAGAGATGGAGAGACAGCGGGGAGAGGAGGAGCAGAGGAGGAGGAGAGGGTTTCTGTGCGCACCGGGTCGCTTTTCCTCCACAGCGGAATAAATCCAGAAAAAGCTTCTAGTTCTGCTTCATCCTCGGAGCTTCACTCGCTTCAGCCCCGGTCTGGTTCCTGGTTCCTGGCAGCAGCAAATAAAACAAACTGACAGGAAATCAAGAAGAAGAGGGGAGTGGGTTCGCGTGGGTTCGCGTGTTTTCTCCACTCGCTCTGCTTTTCCAGCCGAAGCGCAGCTCGTAGAAAAAAATCACCTCCTCGCTCTGAGTGGGAGTGGGTGTGTGTCAGTGGGAGAGTCCGCGCGGGCTGAGCGCTGCTCGCAGGCCGGCTGGCAGTGCCCTCCTCTCGGCTGCGGTCGCTGGAGATCCCCCGGTGCGCAGGACGGAGCCCATGTGCGTCTGGCGCTGCGTGTGCGGGGCCGATCAATGCGCGGTGCGGTGCGGTGCGGTGCGGCCACCTGGCTGCAGGAGCACCAACTCTCAGAGCTCCTCCGAAAAGACAAGGAGAAAAGATTTGATGCTTTGATTGACTGACTGTTTGATGCGCTGATTGGCTGCTTTTATTAAGAAAGAATCAAAGGTGAACATCAAAGGAAAGTTCAATCATTCCGCTGCAAGTGACGCATGGATGCAGAGCCTTTAATTCTCTCCATGATACCGACAAAGAAAAAGAAAAACCCAGTTTCTAAAAAAAAAAAAAAAAAACTACGGTGTAAGAAAAGTTGTGTGTGATGTCATATCCCCCTCCACGCGGGCGGTGTCACACTAAAGGTCACTGCACGATAAACTGAACGGTTAGGAAGGAAAGTTGAGTGGAAGGAAAAGGTGTGTGAGGAAAAAAGTTCATAGAATTAATCTGCAAACTGAGAATCTGATTAGATGACTTTGCTGCAGAAATGAAAAGGTGAGATTCCTTTTATAGATTAATTCAGTTCCGCCGTTTAAATGTTTATTTCTGTTAATACTGACGATCGATACTGATGCTTAATGAAGGTTTACAAACACTTTAGGACACAGATCAGAGCTCCATCATCACATTTATGGAAAATGAAGAAAAAGAAAGTGCAGCTCAGAGGATGATGAAGAGGATGATGAAGGTCTGGTTGAAGCTGAGCAGCAGGTTCCTTCTGAGGGAGAAGAGGCTGGCCAGATGTGGCTGCAGCTGGAGCCAAAGCCTGGGAAGGTTTTCACATCCATCAGGCCTTTAGTTCACATCTAATAAAGGAACACCTGTCATCTGCCCCCTGGTGGAGCACATAAGAACTGCACGTCTGACTGCTTCTTTGTCCTGATGAAACTTTATGGATTTCTCTGGAAAATCTGTTAAATAAAACTGATTGTCTGGAATATTCTGTAGTAGACTTATGCAGGAAGTGAACAGGGAACCTTTGTGTCGCAGCCGTCGGTCCAGCAGGTTTTAGGGGATTTCTTGTTATTTAAAAAAAGAAAATAGATCAATCCCTCCTTTCCCTGTCAGTGTTCACCTGGAGAAAAACATTCCTCCTGTATTTGACCCTTTTTTGCAGGTAATCAATGTAATACTGATAAATGTTTCAATATTGCTGAAGTTTCTATTAAACATCTAATCTTCTAAAAGGCAAAACTTTCTGTTGCTTTTTGTGGAAAGAGTAAAATCTCCCCAGAACCACAGAGGTCATTTCCTGGTGCTGCTGTTTAGGGCCTCCGGGCCTGCAGGGGGCCCCCCAGGAGCACCTTTGTCTCCTTAAGGTGTCAAAATAAATGGTGAACAGAACAAGAGCCAAACCAGCTAAAGACCGGGCTGGAGGTTCTGCTTCCAGAACTAGAGACACCACAGAGGTTCAGACGTAGAGCGGCCTAGTCAGAGTCCACAGCTAAATCCAGCTGAGCAGCAATAGCCCATCCCACTATTAATATGGAGATTATGTTCTTCACTCAGCAGCTCCAGCTGGTTCAGAACGGAAGCAGATCATCAGTATTCAAGGCTAGCCATGGATGCTCAGCTGGATTTAGCTGTGAACTTTGACTAGGCCATTCTACATCTAAAGCTCCATCCCCATGTCCTCCAGCAGTCCAAGCTAATAGCAGCATAACTACAGAGATAGAATGAAGCAGAAAAAGGGTCCCCATGGCCTCCAGCAACATTTGATTCACTCAAACAGCCTCTAGTTACTGTTTTTTTTCTTCAGCACATTTTTCCTCGACTTAGTTTTCAATTAATACAAAGATCATCTTTTGTAATTTTTTATATAACAGGGACCTCCTTCACATGGGAGCATTTCCATAACCAACATTTATCTCTTCTTCATTGCACACAAACATACGATTTTATGTCACATTTTCTTCCTTCCAAACAACTTTCCACGGATAGCATTATGCTAACTTTAGCGTCTGTGAAGAAATACTTTATTAGTCGTCTTCATACAGCATAAAAAACTAGATATGCAGACATGAGAATCTTCAGCGTCACATTAATTAATAACAGATTAAATAAACAAATATGGGTTTAAAATATTTGCTAAGGTTTTTCCTGCATTTGAGAATAATCTGATTAAAGCGACTAATTCTAAAATCTGCAGGTGTTTTTTATTTCAAATGAGCTGAAAGGAAAAAATGCCGTTCTACAGAAAAAATACGTTTTAGATCAACAACTGCAGGTGAAATAATGTGTTTTAATTAAATAGCCTCAGAAACCAAATAAAGCAACTTCCACCGATTCTGATTCAAGGATCAAAACCAAAATGTTTTAAAAACATTTCCTACATTTTAATGGGGCCAGTCCGTCTGTGGAACAGAACAGGACAGTTATCAGCGTGTGAAAGCAGAGGAGTTACGCAACAACAGCGGCTGGTTTAGTCTGAGTTTGAACCTTGAAACTCAGCAGGAACACAGAGATCCAGCCTGACACCAAACGTCCGTCACATCTGGGTCACAACCGACAGCAAACATCAAGCTTTGCAGAGAAAAGGTTTACCTGTCAGGAGGAGGAGGAGCTTCCAGGCTCCTTTAACCTTAAACGACCACTGAGAAGATCAAGGGTCCAGACGACCCGTTTATTCTGCACGTCTGTTCCAGTCTGGAGTTTAGAAAGAATTATTAGAAATTATAGTTTTAGTTGTATTTTTCCAGATATTGGGCTCATTTTAATAATAATAATAATAATAATAATAAGGCGCCATGTTTGAAATCCATTTTGAGATGGATGAAAGAAGCTAGAAAAGCTAGAAAGGCTAAGCTAACCAAACTGGGCCAAGATGAAATGATGAACTGAGATGGAAGCTGTGTCCAAGTTCAGAGGCCTCATCTGGAACACGGCTACATCGCGGCGCCGCAAATAGGGCGCTTCCAAACATGGCGCCTTTAATCATGGCACCCTCAAACATGGCAACCTCATTCATGGCGCCTTCAATCATGGCCCCTTCAATCATGGCGCCCTCAAACATGGCGCCCTCAAACATGGTGCCCTCAATCATGGCACCTTCAATCATGGCGCCCTCAAACATGGTGCCTTCAATCATGGCGCCCTCAAACATAGCGCCCTCAAACATAGCAACCTCATTCATGGCGCCTTCAATCATGGCACCTTCAATCATGGCGCCCTCAAACATGGCGCCTTCAATCATGGCACCTTCAATCATGGCGCCCTCAAACATGGCGCCTTTAATCATGGCACCCTCAAACATGGCAACCTCATTCATGGCGCCTTCAATCATGGCCCCTTCAAACATGGCGCCCTCAAACATGGCGCCCTCAAACATGGTGCCCTCAATCATGGCACCTTCAATCATGGCGCCCTCAAACATGGCGCCTTCAATCATGGCACCTTCAATCATGGCGCCCTCAAACATGGCGCCTTCAATCATGGCACCTTCAAACATGGCGCCCTCAAACATGGTGCCCTCAATCATGGCACCTTCAAACATGGTGCCCTCAAACATGGTGCCTTCAATCATGGCGCCCTCAAACATAGCGCCCTCAAACATAGCAACCTCATTCATGGCGCCTTCAATCATGGCACCTTCAATCATGGCGCCCTCAAACATAGCGCCCTCAAACATAGCGCCCTCAAACATGGCAACCTCATTCAAGGCGCCTTCAATCATGGCGCCCTCAAACATAGCGCCCTCAAACATAGCAACCTCATTCATGGCGCCTTCAATCATGGCACCTTCAATCATGGCGCCCTCAAACATAGCGCCCTCAAACATAGCGCCCTCAAACATAGCAACCTCATTCATGGCGCCTTCAATCATGGCGCCTTCAATCATGGCGCCCTCAAACATAGCGCCCTCAAACATAGCAACCTCATTCATGGCGCCTTCAATCATGGCGCCTTCAATCATGGCGCCCTCAAACATAGCGCCCTCAAACATAGCAACCTCATTCATGGCGCCTTCAATCATGGCGCCTTCAATCATGGCGCCCTCAAACATAGCGCCCTCAAACATAGCAACCTCATTCATGGCGCCTTCAATCATGGCGCCTTCAATCATGGCACCTTCAATCATGGCGCCCTCAAACATAGCGCCCTCAAACATAGCGCCCTCAAACATAGCAACCTCATTCATGGCGCCTTCAATCATGGCACCTTCAATCATGGTGCCCTCAAACATAGCGCCCTCAAACATAGCGCCCTCAAACATGGCAACCTCATTCATGGCGCCTTCAATCATGGCGCCTTCAATCATAGCGCCCTCAAACATAGCGCCCTCAAACATGGCAACCTCATTCATGGCGCCTTCAATCATGGCGCCTTCAATCATGGCACCCTCAAACATAGCACCCTCAAACATGGCAACCTCATTCATGGTGCCTTCAATCATGGCACCTTCAATCATGGTGCCCTCAAACATGGCACCCTCAAACATAGCGCCCTCAAACATAGCACCCTCAAACATGGCAACCTCATTCATGGCACCTTCAATCATGGTGCCCTCAAACATAGCGCCCTCAAACATAGCACCCTCAAACATGGCAACCTCATTCATGGCACCTTCAATCATGGTGCCCTCAAACATAGCACCCTCAAACATGGCAACCTCATTCATGGCACCTTCAATCATGGTGCCCTCAAACATAGCGCCCTCAAACATAGCACCCTCAAACATGGCAACCTCATTCATGGCGCCTTCAATCATGGCGCCCTCAAACATAGCGCCCTCAAACATAGCACCCTCAAACATGGTAACCTCATTCATGGCGCCTTCAATCATGGCACCTTCAATCATGGCGCCCTCAAACATGGCACCCTCAAACATGGCAACCTCATTCATGGCGCCTTCAATCATGGCGCCTTCAATCATGGCGCCCTCAAACATAGCGCCCTCAAACATAGCACCCTCAAACATGGCAACCTCATTCATGGCGCCTTCAATCATGGCGCCTTCAATCATGGCGCCCTCAAACATAGCACCCTCAAACATGGCAACCTCATTCATGGCGCCTTCAATCATGGCACCTTCAATCATGGCGCCCTCAAACATAGCACCCTCAAACATGGCAACCTCATTCATGGCGCCTTCAAT